GTGTTTCCCAACTGAGTGAGTGCCCAGTGAGCTGAGTGAGGAGGAGGGAGGGAAACTGAAGCTGAAATTCCAAAGATGAGATGACAAATCAGTACATTTCTTTTTCATAACTTCAGTGGAGAGTGAGTGAGTGAGTGGAGAGTGAGTGAGGGTGAGTGAGTGAGTGAGTGGGTGAGTGAGGGAGGGAGGGAGTGTGAGTAACTGTATGCCCCAGCTGACATAAAGAAGAAATTCCAAAGATGAGATGACAAATCAGTACATTTCTTTTTCATAACTTCAGTGGAGAGTGAGTGAGTGAGTGAGTGAGGGAGGAGGGAGGGAGGGAGGGAGGAGGTGAACTGTATGCCCCAGCTGAGAAGAAATTCAAAGAGAGATGACAAATCAGTACATTTCTTTTCCATTAACTTCCAGTGGAGTGAGTGAGTGAGTGAGGGAGGGAGGGGGAGGGAGGGAGTGTGTTTCCCAGGCTGACATAAAGAAGAAATTCCAAAGATGAGATGACAAATCAATTTACATTTCTTTTTCATAACTTCAGTGTGAGTGAGGGAGGGAACTGTATGTATGCCCCAGCTGACATAAAGAAGAAATTCAAAGATGAGATGACAAATCAGTACATTTCTTTTCATAACTTCAGTGGAGTGAGTGAGTGAGTGAGGGAGGGAGGGAGGGGGAGGGAGGGAGGGAGGGAGGGAGGGAGTGTGTTTCCCAACTGTATGCCCCAGCTGACATAAAGAAGAAATTCCAAAGATGAGATGACAAATCAGTACATTTCTTTTTCATAACTTCAATGGAGTGAGTGAGTGAGTGAGCTAGCTGCATGAATGTACCCCAGCTTGATGTAAGCAGAAAGCATGAAATGGTGCAGGAAACAGATTCACTGTAAATCAGATATGTTAAACATCACAGGTTCACAGACCATTCAGCAAAATAATTCCTTCTTGATATATAATCAAAGGTTGGATATTTTGTCCCATTTAATCTAAAAAGTTAATGTCATATATACACTTCATTCAATTTTTTAACTAATTAAACAACTTCACGTCATTAGTTCTTCAGCAATAATAGATGTAAAGTAATACTACATTTCTTTATCTTCTGCAAAATAAAATAACTATATGAAACTAAAACATGTACTCATCTGACATTTAGCACAATATTCACAGCACATCAATATTACAGTGTAAAACTGAATGTATTCTTTCAAAAATGATTTGGATGATAGTATATCTCTTAGTGTTTTTAGACCTCCATGGCTTTCACCTTAAAGATTTTATAAAGATCATGAAATATTTCTTGGAACATGTCTTGCAAACTGCCTGATATCGCCCTAAAAACATAGGAAGCCCAGCATCTAATGCCCCAGTCTGATGTTCATGAAATACTGTGTGTACAATACACCTGTAAACCTGGTTTATTACAGGAATATAAATTACTGTATCTCCAATACATCTGTAAATATGGGGAATTAGGATATTGCCAACAAAATATTGTCTCTCTGTAAGCCTGAGGTAGAACAGGATAATGAAATACTGTATGTCCAATACATCTGTAAACCTGGGATAGAACAGTATAATGGAATACTGTATGTCCAATACATCTGTAAACCTGGGATAGAACAGGATAATGAAATACTGGTGTTGTTCATTGATAACAAGACAGATGACGGGAATAAGTAGAGTTTCCAAGCCACTTTGACAGTCCACAGTATGGAACCTGTGTGATGTATGAATCTACCACTGGTGTATGCAATCTCCCGTACTGGTTTAAGTTCTGCCTTGGAAGCTGATATGAAACAACAGCTTGATCAAAGAGATGGTTCAAGTCTTGGGTTGGTTGAAAGTCTGGATCCACATCTGAAGTGACCAGTATTGCTGCCCAAGACACTATGGTGGAATCTGACCTCTAACAGTCCATTGGCTGACAGTTGTCCTTGATCTTCAGATCTATTACTTCCATCCCAAGTTCAGATGTTCCGTGACCGTCTGTGACCTAATCCAGTGATGACATCACATGGTGTGATGGTTCTTAGCCATCCACAATCCACAGTCCAGGCAGACAGATCCCACTCATCTGGCAGAGAAGTACAGAGCATGAGGGTGGGGTGGCTACGTCTGCCTACCAGGGTGGCACCCACTGCTTGAATCATAATCTGTTGAGAATACCTGGAAGCGCTTTTTCAGCATTGTGTCATCCCCTTCAGTTGATGCTTCATTCAGGCAAGGAAATCTGCAAAGTAATCTGGGATGGAGTGTCAGATACAGAATATTGGAACTCTTCCCCTTCCCTGTCAGCTCCTTATCTCAGGTGACAGACTGGACACTTTCTCCTCAGCTGTCTCCTTTCTCCAAGCCAAGACTTCTCTTCTCAAAGTAAAGAACAGGTGAGCACTCAGAACATAGGGACTCATCCTTGAATTCAATTCAAACAAGAGGTGTGAGGATTACCAGACATCTTGAAGTTTCCATAACACCTAGAGCAGGCTATGTGCAGTCATCTTGCGTAACACAACACTACCATAAATTAGCTGTTACGGCCAAAACTGTATATATATCTTTGAACTACATTAGCAAACATAGAACTGGAGAATGATCCAGGTGACCAACGTAATTTGACAATCTAATCTCTGTACAGCATGACATATGACCAAACCAGTTATCTTTGCAAACTCAGAAATGTTTTTCCATATTAATCTTTTTGAGCTGCTCACAAGAGAACATACAATGAAGATGTGAGGTATCTGTATGAACAAAGTTCAGGTGGGAAAATAGTACTGGTATCTTAACCAGTTATGGATATTTAACAGTGAAATGGTGAAGGAGTGCGAGTGTGGTTTTACACCGCTTTTAGTGATATCCCAGCAATATCACAGTGGGGGGACACCAGAAATGGACGTCTACAGCGTGACGAGCGGATGCTTTAACTATCAGGGCCTAGATTTTTGAAGCTCTCTTAACGCTAAGATAGCCGTAAGTTAATGTTAATGTATGGCACTTACGACTATCTTAGCCTAAGAAAGCTTAAAAAATCTAGACCCAGGAGCTACTACCTCACAGTGAAATGGACTTCTATTTGGAAAACTGTGGATTATATAGCGTGATTACAGACAAAATACAATAATTAAGTCACTGATAAAATCTAGGTTTTGTGTTCACAAGAATTATGGGATGATGCTGGATAATATGTCTCCAAAACATCCATAAACATGAAATGTTACAAGTCATACTGATCAGATGTGACATTTGTGCAAAGCCAAGGTGACTGTTGCTCTATGGGCATGGCCATTCTATCGCACTACGGGAACTATTGTAATAGTATTGAGACAATTGAAACACCATTGTAATACTATTGCATCTACAGGTACAACTATGTAATAGTATTGAGACAATTGAAACACCATTGTAATACTATTGCATCTACAGGTACAACTATGTAATAGTATTGAGACAACTGAAACACCATTGTAATACTATTGCATCTACAGGTACAACTATGTAATAGTATTGAGACAACTGAAACACCATTGTAATACTATTGCATCTACAGGTACAACTATGTAATAGTATTGAGACAACTGAAACACCATTGTAATACTATTGCATCTACAGGTACAACTATGTAATAGTATTGAGACAACTGAAACACCATTGTAATACTATTGCATCTACAAACTATGTACAGACAACTAAACACCATGTAATAGTGCATTGAGACAACTGAAACACTGAAACACCATTGTAATACTATTGCATCTACAGGTACAACTATGTAATAGTATTGAGACAACTGAAACACCATTGTAATACTATTGCATCTACAGGTACAACTATGTAATAGTATTGAGACAACTGAAACACCATTGTAATACTATTGCATCTACAGGTAGTATTGGAGACAACTGTAATAGTATTGCAGGACAATTGGAGACAACAAACACCATTGTAATATTGCAATCTATGTAATAGTATTGAGACAACTGAAACACCATTGTAATACTATTGCATCTACAGGTACAACTATGTAATAGTATTTGAGACAACTGAAACACCATTGTAATACTATTGCATCTACAGGTACAACTATGTAATAGTATTGAGACAACTGAAACACCATTGTAATACTATTGCATCTACAGGTACAACTATGTAATTTTGAGTGCTGGTAATACTATTGCATCTTTAATGAGTATTGAGACAACTGAAACACCATTGTAATACTATTGCCATCCCACGAAACACTATTGTAAACCTCACAACTGCACTTGTAATTGCCTCTACGTAATGGATGTTTTTGGAGTGCATGAAACATGTTTTAGTGCTTCTTTTACCATCCCTACCATCCGCGGTCAACCTCACTGCACTGACAGAACCTGACTTTGCCAATCTTTTACAAGACTTGGTATTAAGGAGTTAAGAGAGGTAAATCTGATATTTGTCATATATAAATATACAAATGATACTTTCATCATTGTACTGAGGCATCAATGATAACTACTGACATTTTAACGCCATTCAATATTTTGCTATCAAATGCTATTTTGATGCATCATCATCATCATCATCATCATCATCATCATCATCATCATCATCATCATCATCATCATCATCATCATCACCACCACCATCTGGGTATAATGTGTGAAGCCCATTTCTGGTGTCCCCCGCCGTGATATTGCTGGGATATTGCTAAAAGCGGCGTAATACCATACTCACTCACTACCATCATCCCATCCAACACCAATCAAAGGATGGTATGGTCCAGACTAGTTAGAGGCTGCTGGCATACGGCTGGAGTGTGGCATTAAATCACTTCAACACATCACATTGTAATCAGCATCACCATCACAATCAAGGTAAACACCATCACATTACATCACACCACAATCAACAATCATCATCACCATCAGCAGCTACCTCTTCACCTTGTAGCAATGCTACCATTCAGCCTTAATTTGGAAGAAACAACAACAAAAAATCAGTGTGACAAATTATAAATTCACCTACTTCTTTGGTTGGGATGCCTCGTCGGGGTAATCCGGTTGTATCGCTGGGGGTTGGATTTAACCAGATTCATCAAGCTTATGGGTTTCAATCTCTCACCCATTTCAGTCAGTCTAACACTGTCAACGATTCTCCAATGAAACCGACGATACAAACTGTGCTTGTGAGTTAAACTGATTTCCTGAAGCTCAACAAGGAAGCTCTACAATTGTCACAAGCACATCAGGGTGAAAAACTGAATTAACTACATTTTACTAATACATTTATATACATCTCACAAAAGATAAGATGCACATGTGAAGCCTAGCTCTGTGCACCTGATCAATATTTGAAAAAAGTCATCTATATTTGACACCAAAAAAGGTGGGTTGTTTGTGTCTGTCTCATGACTGGTGTCTTGGAATACATCACTTTCATTGGCCATCGCAGGGACAAACCGAACAGAGGGTCTGCGAGGAGGGTCTGTGGGTCTAAATGACATACATACGTATCATAGAACGCCATAAAACATTTTTCACTTGAAATTAGTGTCATTAGATAGGACAGATTTATGTACAGGTGTTTTTTTCCTTATTGGTCACGTCACTTTCACAGTTTGTCCAGCTGCCCATCCATTTTTCATATGTAATCACTTCCCAATTGTTACAAACTGATTGGATAAATCAATTTTAATTCCAGTATTAACTGTCTTGTGATAGGCTGTCAGCACATGATTGACATGTTGTTTCCATCTGTCTATCACATGTATATATCTACTGAGTGTATATAGGACTCCGTATACATCCCTCCACCATTGTATATATACTCGTACATATCATGTCAATATCATGGGGTCACATGCATCCTTTACTATAAGACAGTGACGCTTAAGTCCATTGTTCTAGGCAACCTATTTCCTGTTGCATCAGATCCTTCCTTTCCAGTCATATCACGAGACAGATTATATTTACCAGTTCCGTGGTTTAAGCAGTAAAATATCTTTCAAATATATTTCATCATCAATTTCAGATATATCCATCAACTTTTCAGATTAAATACATTTCAGGGCAAATAACACCTGTTCTGTTATGCTGCATCACAAGCCCTCTTATATCCTCCATGGAACTGGTCAATAACAGAATCCATAGGAATGCTTTTATAATTGCTGTTTAATGTCATGTATATTTCACACTGGTTGATTTCACATATGATCCATTTAAACAGTAAGAAGACAACATAGCAAGTATCGTTGATTTATGGTCATGAGTATTCATTGAGTGCTGATGGCATGGGGAGTATAGTACTCCACTTAGTCCATCTCTCGATCAATTCACCAGGTGTACACTGTGTCCTTCACTCGTTCCTGACCCCGCCCACCTGGATGATTGACACGTGATCTGCGGGAACACATGTTACAGCATCTCCTGGTTGTTGTGTGTGGAGTAGAAGTATGATTACAGCATCCAGCTGACGAGGAAGGGAAACCTGCTACATCAATAGTTGGACCAGGCGCAGATAGCAGAGTGCGTACGTTGCAGCCAGTACTCGCTGCTGGTGTGGGGAAGGGGAGAGAATGCAGTGTGAGTGACGGAGAGACACAATCATCAGAGAGTTAGGGTGGCTCTGCTGGATACAGGGATACATGGAGGGATCAGTCACTGTACATGGACTGAGTGAATGTCGGCAAGTCTGTGGTTGGTATCATAAAAACAATCCATGTGCACGCTGATACACAATCAGTCAGGCAGGATAGGGTGGATGTTTGTACATGAAGTGAGGTAGAGGCAGTTGAAGGGTGGGTGATTGCATATAAACAAAGTGGGGTGGAGGCAGTAAAGGGTAGATGTTTGCATGTAAAGTGTGGTGGAGGCAACTGAGGGTGGATGTTTGCAGATGAAGAAGAGTAGAGGCATTTAAGGGTGGATGTTTGCACATAAAGTGGAGTGGAGGCAGTTAAGGGTGGATGTTTGTATATACAGTGTGGTGGAGGCAGTTAAGGATGGATGTTTACAGATAAAGAGGAGTGGATGCAGTTATGGTTTGATGTTGGCAAACAAAATGGGGTAGAGGCAGTTAAGGGTGGATGTTTGCAAATGAAGTAGGGTGGAGGCAGTTAAGGGTGGATGTTTACAGATGAATTGGGGTGGTTGCAGCAAAGGGTGAATGCTTGCAAACAAAGGGTGGATGTTTGCAGTTAGAGTGAAGTGGAAGCAATTAAGGGTAGATGTTTGCAGATGAAGTGGGGTGGTTCAAGTAGAGGATGAATGGTTGCAAATGAAATGGGGGAAGAGGCAGTTAAGGTTGGATGTTTGCAAACAAAGTGGGGTGGAGGCAATAAAGGGTGGACTTTTGCAAACAAAGTGGGGAAATAGGCAATTAAGAGTGGACGTTTGTATATAAAGTGTGGTGTAGGCAATTAGGGTGGGTATTTGCAAACAAAGTGGGGTGGAGGAAGTTAAGGGTGGACAACTGCAAATGAAGTGAGGTGGAGACAGTTAAGGGTGGATGTTTGTATATAAAAGTGTGGTGGAGGCAATTAGGGTGGGCAACTGCAAATGAAGTGAGGTGGAGACAGTTAAGGGTGCGTGTTTGTAAACAAAGTGGGGTGGAGGCAACAAAGGGTGGATGTTTGCAAATGAAGTGGGGAAGAAGTAGTTCAGGGTGGATGCTTGCACACAAAGCGAGGTGGAGGGAGTTAGGGGTGGATGTTTGCAGATGAAGTGGGGTGGAGGCAACAAAGGGTGGATGGTTGCAAATGAAATGGGGAAAGCAGCAGTAAATTATGCTCGCAAACAAATTGGGGTGGAGGCAGTAAAGGGTGGGTGTTTGCAAATGAAGTAGGGGAAGAAGCAGTTAAGGGTGGATGCTTGTAAAAAAAGGTGAGATGGAGGCAGTAAAGGGTGGATGTTTCCAAACAAAGTGAGGTGGAAGCAGTTAAGGGTGGATATTTTCAAACAAAGTGGGGTGGAGGCAGGTAAAGGTAGATGTTTGCTCATGAAGTGGGGTGGAGGCATATAGATATGTGAGAGATATCTGTGTTACAGATGAAATAATTTTGTGAGATGAAGTGTGATGACATAACATGGATGAGAAGATGTGTGTGATATAACATGGGTGAGAAGATGTGTGTGATGTAATATGGATGAGAAGATGTGTGATGACATAACATGGATGAGAAGATGTGTGATGACATAACATGGATGAGAAGATATGTGTGATATAACATGGATGAGATGTGTGTGATATAACATGGATGAGAAGACGTGCATGATATAACATGGATGAGATGTGATATAACATGGATGAGATGTGTGATATAACATGGGTGAACAATGTGCATGATATAACATGGATGAGATGTGTGTGATGTAACATGGATGAGAAGATGTGTGTGATATAACATGGATGAGAAGATGTGTGTGATATAACATGATGAGAAGATGTGTGTGATATAACATGAACGAGAAGATGCGTGTGAATTAACATGAACGAGAAGATGTGTGTGATATAACATGGATGAGATGTGTGTGATGTAACATGGATGAGAAGATGTGTGTGATATAACATGGATGAGAAGATGCGTGTGATATAACATGAACGAGAAGATGTGTGTGATATAACATGAACGAGAAGATGTGTGTGATATAACATGGATGAGAAGATATGTGTGATATAACATGGATGAGATGTGTGTGATATAACATGGATGAGAAGATGTGCATGATATAACATGGATGAGATGTGTTGATATAACATGGATGAGATGTGTGTGTGATGTAACATGGATGAGAAAGATGTGTGTGATATAACATGGATGAGAAGATGCATGTGATATAACATGAACGAGAAGATGTGTGTGATATAACATGAACGAGAAGATGCGTGTGATATAACATGAACGAGAAGATGTGTGTGATATAACATGGATGAGATGTGTGATATAACATGGCTGAACAATGTGCATGATATAACATGGATGAGATGTGTGTGATGTAACATGGATGAGAAGATGTGTGTGATATAACATGGATGAGAAGATATGTGTGATATAACATGGAAGAGATGTGTGTGATATAACATGGATGAGAAGACGTGCATGATATAACATGGATGAGATGTGATATAACATGGATGAGATGTGTGTGATGTAACATGGATGAGAAGATGTGTGTGATATAACATGGACGAGAAGATGCATGTGATATAACATGAACGAGAAGATGTGTGTGATATAACATGAACGAGAAGATGTGTGTGATATAACATGGGTGAACAATGTGCATGATATAACATGGATGAGAAGATGTGTGTGATATAACATGGATGAGAAGAAGAGCATGATATAACATGGATGAGATGTGTGATATAACATGGATGAGATGTGTGTGATGTAACATGGATGAGAAGATGTGTGTGATATAACATGGATGAGAAGATGCGTGTGATATAACATGAACGAGAAGATGTGTGTGATATAACATGAACGAGAAGATGCGTGTGATATAACATGAACGAGAAGATGTGTGTGATATAACATGGATGAGATGTGTGATATAACATGGGTGAACAATGTGCATGATATAACATGGATGAGAAGATGTGTGAGATGTAACATGGATGAGAAGATTTGTGTTATATAACATGGATGAGTAGATGTGTGTGATATAACATGGAAGAGATGTGTGTGATATAACATGGATGAGAAGATGCGTGTGATGTAATATGGATGAGAAGATGTGTGTTATATAACATGGATGAGTAGATGTGTGTGATATAACATGGGTGAACAATGTGCATGATATAACATGGATGAGATGTGTGATATAACATGGGTGAACAATGAGCATGATATAACATGGATGAGAAGATGTGTGTGATGTAACATGGATGAGAAGATGTGTGTTATATAACATGGATGAGTAGATGTGTGTGATATAACATGGATGAGAAGATGTGTGTGATATAACATAGATGAGAAGATGCGTGTGATGTAATATGGATGAGAAGATGTGTCTAAAGTAATCTGGATGAGATGTGTGTGATATAACATGGATGAGATGTGTGTGATATAACATGAACGAGAAGATGCGTGTGATATAACATGAACGAGAAGATGTGTGTGATATAACATGGATGAGATGTGTGTGACGTAACATGGATGAGAAGATGTGTGTGATATAACATGGATGAGAAGATGTGTGTGATATAACATGAACGAGAAGATGTGTGTGATATAACATGAGCGAGAAGATAAGTGTGATATAACATATGCACTAGTGTGTGATATAACATGGATGAGATGAGTGTGATGTAACATGGATGAGAAGATGTGTGATATAACATGGATGAGAAGATCGTGTGATATAACATGAACGAGAAGATGCGTGTGATATAACATGAACGAGAAGATGTGTGTGATATAACATGAACGAGAAGATGTGTGTGATATAACATGGATGAGAAGATGTGTGATATAACATGGGTGAACATTGTGCATGATATAACACGGATGAGAAGATGCGTGTGATGTAATATGGATGAGAAGATGTGTCTAAAGTAATCTGGATGAGATGTGTGTGATATAACATGGATGAGAAGATGTGTGTGATGTAACATGGATGAGAAGATGTGTGTGATGTAATATGGATGAGATGTGTGTGACATAACATGGGTGAGATGTATTGTACCCTTGCCTCAGATGATTTCATCAAAATGTTTGATACATTTTAACTACTTGCATCAACAGCCAACATGTCAATCTGAGAGACATTGATTAGAGTGCCATCTTGCCCAAGACTTGACTACAATATTGAAAACTCTTTGATAGCAGTCAGGATTTATTTAAAAATACATTACCTGTTTAGTGTTACTTTATGCTGCAGTAAATTTTGATTTCATGCCAAGATGCTATATATTGAGGAACTTTCTGCAGATAATTCCCAGAGGAATCTTCTCCCCAGACAAGAGGACCATTATGTCTTACAAAAGCGTCAGTGGAGGCCTCATCCTTATACCGTTAAACTAAAGTATTTAAAGATCTTTGAAGAAAGACAATACATGGCTGATGCAGTCACTTGCATGATCAGATTCCAGCAAAAGGGACACCAAACTGACTTTAGGACCATCTTGGGATCAACTAGGGAATTAACCTGACATTTCTTTGAAATGCATGAGATATTGAGTAAACATTACACAATGAGTAACGGTTATGGAATAGGTCTGTTTTTAAACTTAGGAAACTTACACGCAGACATTACCAAGCACTATAATACTAGTTATGAACAGATAAATCTTCATAGATCATCTTATTCCAGTAGCCAAGTCAACATGCTTAGCAAAATAAATTTTGATTAAAAACATACTTTTTAAAA